TCATTTCTGTGAATGTAGTATATCAAGCACAGTATGAATATAATATCATTCTAATATAACAGTATTTTAACCGAAAACTATTAAAAAACGAGTAACATCTCTTGAACATTGGAAGGTTAGGTGAAGTCTTTTCTTTTCGTCATGTATTTTATCCAATTTTACATTGAAATACATCACGTTTCAGCAAAATTACTATTTATTTCCAAGAATATATTTATTCAGGCACAGTTTAGGTAAAATATACGCGTGATGTAACATTTTTTAATTGAAAACGATTCGAAAAACACGTACCCTCTAGCCCTGTTCAAGGAGAGGACTGGGAGAAGCTGTTTGGTGCTGCAGACGATGGCAAGGAAAATGATTTGGATGGATTTTAATGAAAATATTCAGAAATATGGTATTGTAGTATTTATTCAAGTCAATTAGGATAGAATATTATTGTAATACAACAGTAGTGACGATGTGGAGGAGGCGGAGAGATAGAGCGGGGAGGAGGCGGAGGGATAGAGGGGGGAGGAGGCGGAGGGATAGAGCGGGGAGGAGGTGACTGGCGGGAGCAGGGACGAGTGGAGATGCCAGCCAGTACATTATGGGTGTATTAATTGTTTTTATAGCTATTTTTGCATTTTAATGTTAAATACTGTACATTACGTTTCAACGAAACTACCATTTATTTCTGAGAACATGGAAATGAAATATTTTTGCTGAAATGATGTAGGTATTACAGTGGAAAGTGACGAAAGCAATGACTTTCGCTTTCTTTCGTTCAAAAGATGTTACCGTAATCGCTTTTCGAATGGTTTTCAGTTGTGGGATTATAAGGCTAATGATAGGATAGAATATTATTGTAATACAGTACGAGTACAACAGTTTTTTAACTGAAAACCATTCGAAAAGCGATTACGGTAAAATATTTTGAACAACGAAAGAAAGCGAAAGTCTTTCGTCATGATTTTATCCCACTTCCCACTATAATATGTACGTCATTCCAGCAAAAATATTACATTTCCATATTTATTTCCGAGAATATATTCATTCAGTCACAGTTAAGGTAAAATATACTTGTGATGTAATATTTTAATGAAAATCCAGTATCGTAGTTTTCTCTTGTTTCAAATTTAATTAACAAAGATTGATGTTTCAAATGTAATGAACAAAAATTTATGTCCAGTATCTATAAATTAACTTTAATAAATGAAAACTTTGTTTTACATCGTCCTGTGCTACCATACCATGGATTTGGCTACTTTGGGCTTGCAAGAGATCTGCCCTAGCAACTGTACCGACACTCACAGCTGGTGGTGTGTTGGTGCATCGTTTCCATTGTTTACTGGTACTTGCTGGTAAATATATTTCAACCTAACGAAACTATTACCCGTTTAGAGGACAACCCCCAATTTTTGCCAAATAATTTGGTCTTAAAAACTCGAACTACACACAGGTATATACGGTAAATACGGACATGGGTCCCCGGGAATTTTAAGGGGAGGGGGGCAGCAATAGTACACGGATTTTTAACATTCACGGGTATCTCTGTTACCTAACCCCCGCGAATGTTAAGGGCCGACTGTACATACACTTACGTGACTAAGCTTCTCTCTTATAAAAGCCATTGAAATGACCTGGGTGAATATAATTAACATAGCTGGGATTCTTGTAGCATACTGATTAATTTGAATATAAACATGCTATAATTTGCACTAGACAAAACAATTTTAGTACCGTAATCAAATTAGTACATGTGCACTAAGGTCATTTATTTCTATTACAAGTCTTTTATTATGGTGTGTGCATGTAAATGGATGAAAATAAATGAAGAAATTTATGTAAATCTACCCAAAAATACAGTTGAAAACTTTTTTATAAAATGTACTACAATACTGTACACTAATGTGCAACAATTTTTTATCTCTTGAGCAAAATATTTGACGTATATATTCAAATTATTGGCTGTCTTGCAAGGATTTCAGTAATGCAAATTATAATCTCCTAACTTTAGTCTGAGATATTATATAAGATAAAAACTGTCAGCCTAAAAGCCTGGCTGTAGGGGGGGGGGGAGGAGGCAGCCAGTTTATTTAACAGTCCTACTAAGCTTCTCTCATTTTAAAATGCCAGTGAGATGACCTAGGAGAATATAATTAACATTGCTGGGATTCTTGTATGATACTGATTTATTTGAATATAAACATGTTGTAATTCGCACTAGACATAACAATTTTAGTACCGTCATCAAATTAATACATGTGCACTCCAGCTTTGCACTAAGGTCATTTATTTATTTTACGTTTCTTTTAGTATAGAGTGTGCATGTAAATGGATGAAAATAAATGAAGAAATTTATGTAAATCTACCCAAAAATACAGTTGAAAATTTTTTTATAAAATGTACTACAGTATTGTACACTAATGTACTACATTTTTTATATCCTGAGCAAAATATATGATGCTTATATTCAAATTAATCTCTGTCTTACAAGGGTTTCAGCAATGCAAATTATATTATCCTAACTTTAGTCTGAGATATTATATAAAATAAACATAAAGAAATCACCATGGTGGGAAGAGGGGGCGGGAGGTGAGGTGACGGAATGTCTGGCGTTTGTTTGTTTATTTATTTGAGATAAGATTTGACAGTTGGTGCTGAAGGCCTGCCCGTGTGTTTATTTATCATTACTTAAGAGTGACTAAGCTCTTCTCATAATTTGCCACCCAAACGACCTGGGTGAATATAACTTACATTGGAAGGATTCTTGAAAGATAGTAATTTATTTGAATACCTGTATAAACAAGCTATATTTGCAATAGACATAACAATTTTAGTACCGTAATCATTTAGTACATGTACAATACAGGTTTGCACTTAGGTCCATTGTTACTGTACAATATTGACTAAATTCACAAGATAACGTACGCCTGGCCACACAATCTATAAGAATCCGCAATGCATACGTGACTGTGCCCGCTGTAGGTCCATTTCGGTTCGCTAGTTCCCATTATTTGAATGTTTTTTTTTTTCAATTTAAATTTTAATTGTTTATTCCTTGATAGAGAGCGGGATCCTAAAAGCTGTCACTTGGTACCTGTACCGTAACACCAGAAAGCAACTGGCCAGTGTCACAAGTATATACAGTACAGTACAGTGAGTTCTGCTATAGCGTGTTTGATACTTGTAATTTGCTCTAGCGATTTATGAATTAGGAGCGATATTTGTATACAGCGACGCTTGTTGCTATACTTGATTTTTGCTTACTATTTCTCCAATTTTGTGGTATTAACTGTGAATATGGTAAAGAAGAATATCTCCAAAGCGTTCTGGTGATAGAATTCCGGTGATGATCGTAAAAGGATATAACACTTGAAGCTCGATGTTATCAACCTCAAAATCACCCTTTTCCCCCATCAAGTTACATTCATATTTTTTCAAGGTAAAGTGTTACATTTACTGTATGATTTCATTATTAGATATGAATGTAACATTTATTTAGACTGTGCTATCCTTTGTGTTAGGCTAACTACTAAATTTTTTCGATTTGAGTAATCTGCACCTCCTATTTTCTCCATAAGACCTGTTATTTCTATCTATGATTTTCTATAACCACGATATTTTACAAAACACAATTATCGCGTTATAGCAAACTACTATTACAGTCATCCCGGTTATCATGCTAATTGGGACCCGCCCGATGCTGAAAGTACAGAATCTATGTGATTTATTCTAATTGGTTCAGGCACCCAAGACCCAACCCCAAGTTTCCCATTTTAGGACCATTTATACCCCGAAATATATATACCGTATAATGTTATGGTAAATATCATAAACACACATAGGCAGCTGGGTTTATTACAAAGTGATGAAAAGATGCAGCTTAATACTGTAGTCCACAAAACATGTAACTATGCTTTTTTTTATTTGGTCCCCCGTCATAAGAGTCCATTTTCTCTCACATCAGGACGCCTGAGTCCTCCGTTTTCTCTCTTAATCTTAGAGTACACCATAAACTTTACTATTTTTAGTAATGCCACAGAATTTGAAATTGCAACCCCAATTGCAACTTGCAATTGTTGAGGCAACTAGATATGTCTGATTACAGCAAATGTGTTATTGACAATTTGTAGATGAAAGATTTTATCCTCAATAGATGTAGGTTTACATTTCACCTGTAGGCAAATGCTTAAAAAAAGCCTAAGTAAGGAAGCATATTCCTTTAACACAAAATATCTGACCAGTATAGGGAGGATCATCGTGTCTCCGGTAGGTGGTCGTGGAGTGGTGGTCAGGAGGAGTCACTTTTTGGAGAGGCAGGGCGTTATGTGATCAGACGTTGTTCGGTCAGACGTTAACCGCTGGCATGACTGTATTTGTGTGAGTGGTGTCAAGAGTTAAATTTTTGTGATTATTTTCATAGTAAAGAGATGTCCTCTAACTGTTGTGTATTACCCCTTGGAAACCCATGGTTCTTGACTTTCCTTTGATAAGATCCTGATAAGGCTAGCAAGGAATTTTTATTCTACAGGCCAGGCCAGGCAATCTCTCAGAAATTCATTCCTATGCCAGGAATGGAGAGATTTTTTCCAGAATTACTCAGAATGACTCCTCAAAGCTTCCAGCTATTGGAGAGTCTGGAGATCGAAGATTCTGGCTAAAGGAGAGATTACTGTACACGGTTCCCTCCTTCCCTGCATTCTTCTACTTTCCTTCTCTCCTTTATTCTGTGATTCAATGTCACTCATCGCACCATTCATCGCCATATCCCAGGTAACAGAACTCCCTCCCTTCCTCCATTCTCTCATCAATAAATAGATACTAAAATATATTACGACATTCCTACTAAACATTCTGAGCATTTCTGCTCTCTTTGACTAGTCTCAGCGTGAAAACTTTCCAAATCAAAACAATTACTAACATTTCGTAACTCTTGTTCAGTGTCAGGTACACAAATATACCACAAAAATAAGTTTGTTTTTACAAGTGTGTGGAGACAGATGAACACCTCTTACCTTTATGATGTTGCCACCCTTGAGACCATAACCAACAGCAAGGAATGAGCTGATGTAGGTAAGATCTAAGCAGGCTAATGGCTGTTCCACATTGGGGATGTTGCAGGCTGGTGATAAAAAAAATAAAATTTTCTTACACTCAATGACAAATTTTGTCAAATTACTATAACTTCTATTGATTTAATATTATTACTAACATTATTTTTCACTTCATTTTTGTTTCTCTGAGTGCAGGCATAAGACCAAATATTTTACTAATGTAGTCCACCTAATTTAGTATTTCAAGACAAAGAGTTTTACAAAGGCTGAAATGTTTGGTGGAACCTTAAATTTGTTATCCCTCAAGTCTTAGAAGGCACCAAATGTTGATAACATATTATTCCTTTTTATATATCCTTATATCATCACTTTCTTTTGCTATACTGTACTGTATATCCTTATAATCACTTTCTCTTGTTATATAGGGGTACCTTAATTCAATCTTTCTCTCACTATATACCTAAATTCATCACTTTCTCTTGCTATATACCTTAATTCAATCTTTCTCTCACTATATACCTAAATTCATCACTTTCTCTTGCTATATACCTAAATTCATCACTTTCTCTTGCTATATACCTAAATTCACCACTTTCTCTTGCTATATACCTAAATTCATCACTTTCTCTTGCTATATACCTAAATTCACCACTTTCTCTTGCTATATACCTAAATTCATCACTTTCTCTTGCTATATACCTAAATTCACCACTTTCTCTTGCTATATACCTAAATTCATCACTTTCTCTTGCTATATACCTAAATTCACCACTTTCTCTTGCTATATACCTAAATTCATCACTTTCTCTTGCTATATACCTAAATTCACCACTTTCTCTTGCTATATACCTAAATTCACCACTTTCTCTTGCTATATACCTCAATTTATCACTTTCTCTTGCTATATACCTCAATTAATTCATGACTTTCTCTTGCTATATACCTCAATTAATTCATGACTTTGTCTTGCTGTATACCTCAATTAATTCATCTCTTGCTATATACCTCAATTAATTCATGACTTTCTCTCTTGCATATATACCTAAATTCATCACTTTCTCTTGCTATATACCTAAATTCACCACTTTCCTTGCTATATACCTAAATTCATCACTTTCTCTTGCTATATACCTAAATTCACCACTTTCTCTTGCTATATACCTAAATTCATCACTTTCTCTTGCTATATACCTAAATTCACCACTTCTTGCTATATACCTAAATTCACTTACCTTGCTATATACCTCAATTAATTCAATCTTTCTCTCACTATATACCTAAATTCATCACTTCTTGCTATATACCTAATCATCACTTTCTCTTGCTATACCTAAATTCACCACTTTCTCTTGCTATACACCTAAATTCATCATTTCTCTTGCTATATACCTAAATTAACCACTTCTTGCTATATACCTTAATTTATCACTTTCTTGCTATATATCTCAATTAATTCATGACTTTCTTGCTATATACCTCAATTAATTCATGACTTTGTCTTGCTGTATACCTCAATTAATTCATCACTCTCTTGCCATATACCTCAATTAATTCATGACTTTCTCTTGCTCTATACCTAAATTCATCACTTTCTCTATATATACCTAATTCATCACTTGCTATATACCTAACCACTTTCTTTGCTATATACCTTAATTTATCATTTCTCCTATATAACCTCAATTAATTCATCACTTTCTCTTGCTATATACCTCAATCATCACTCTCTTGCTATATACCTCAATTAATTCAATCTTTCTCTCACTATATACCTAAATTCATCACTTTCTCTTGCTATATAACTAAATTCATCACTTTCTCTTGCTATATACCTAAATTCACCACTTTCTCTTGCTATACACCTAAATTCATCACTTTCTCTTGCTATATACCTAAATTCACCACTTTCTCTTGCTATATACCTTAATTTATCACTTTCTCTTGCTATATACCTCAATTAATTCATGACTTTCTCTTGCTATATACCTCAATTAATTCATGACTTTGTCTTGCTGTATACCTCAATTAATTCATCACACTCTTGCTATATACCTCAATTAATTCATGACTTTCTCTTGCTATATACCTAAATTCATCACTTTCTCTTGCTATATACCTAAATTCATCACTTTCTCTTGCTATATACCTAAATTCACCACTTTCTCTTGCTATATACCTTAATTTATCACTTTCTCTTGCTATATACCTCAATTAATTCATCACTTTCTCTTGCTATATACCTCAATTAATTCATCACTTTCTTGCTATATACCTCAATTAATTCATCACTCTCTTGCTATATACCTCAATTAATTCATCACTTTCTCTTGCTATATACCTCAATTAATTCATGACTTTCTCTTGCTGTATAACTCAATTAATTCATCACTTTCTCTTGCTATATACCTCAATTAATTCATCACTCTCTTGCTATATATACCTCAATAAATTCATCACTTTCTCTTGCTATATACCTAATTCACCACTTTCTCTTGCTATATACCTAAATTCATCACTTTCTTGCTATACCTAATTCACCACTTTCTTGCTATATACCCAATTCATCACTTTCTCTTGCTATATACTCAATTAATTCATGACTTTCTCTCTATATACCTAAATTCACCACTTCTCTTGCTATATACCTAAATTCATCACTTTCTCATATACCTAAATTCACCACTTTCTTTGCTATATACCAAATTCATGACTTTCTTGCTATATACCCCAATTAATTCATGACTTTCTCTCTTATATACCCAAATTCACCACTTTCTCTTGCTATATACCAAATTCATCACTTTCTCTTGCTATATACCCAATTCAATTACTCTTGCTGTATACCTCAATTAATTCATCACCTCTTGCTATATACCTAATTAATTCATCACTTTCTCTCTTATATACCCCTAATTCATCACTTCCTTGCTATATACCTCAATTAATTCATCACTTTCTCTTGCTATATACCTCAATTAATTCATCACTTTCTTTTGCTATATACCTTAACTCATCACCTTCTCTTGATATATATCGTAACTCATCACTTTCTCTTGCTATATACCTTAACTCATCACTTTCTCTTGATATATATCCTAACTCATCAGTTTCTCTTGCTATTATATCTTAAATCATCACATTCTCTTGCTATATACCTCAATTAATTCATCACTTTCTCTTGCTATATACCTCAATTAATTCATCACTTTCTTTTGCTATATACCTTAACTCATCACTTTCTCTTGATATATATCGTAACTCATCACTTTCTCTTGCTATATACCTTAACTCATCACTTTCTCTTGATATATATCGTAACTCATCACTTTCTCTTGCTATATACCTTAACTCATCACTTTCTCTTGATATATATCCTAACTCATTTTGCTATATATCTTAAATCATGACATACTCTTGTTATATACCTCAATTAATTCATCACTTTCTCTTGTTATATACCTCAATTAATTCATCACTTTCTCTTGCTATATACCTTAACTCATGGGTGGGCAAAGTGCGGCCCGCGGGCCACATTTGGCCCGCCAAATTATTTCTGTGGCCCGCCACTGCATTTGGCAATCAGAAAAAAATTTATTAATTACAGAAAGGACAATTTTGGAAGTTGGGTGGACATAGCAGCAATACTGGCCTGTCGCTGTTAACCTTTGGCCCGCAAAGTGTGCCACCATTCATGAAGTGGCCCTCCATCAAAAATAATTGCCCACCCCTGCCTTAACTCATCACTTTCTCTTGATATATATCGTAACTCATCACTTTCTCTTGCTATATACCTTAACTCATCACTTTCTCTTGATATATATCCTAACTCATCACTTTCTCTTGCTATATACCTTAACTCATCACTTTCTCTTGATATATATCCTAACTCATCAGTTTCTCTTGCTATATATCTTAAATCATGACATACTCTTGTTATATACCTCAATTAATTCATCACTTTCTCTTGTTATATACCTCAATTAATTCATCACTTTCTCTGCTATATACCTTAACCTCAGGGTGGGCAGCCAAGTGCTGGCTGATTTGGCCCGCCAATTATTTCTGTGGCCCGCCACGCATTTGGCAATCAGAAAAAAATTTTATTAATTACAGAAAGGACAATTTTGAAGTTGGGTGGACATAGCAGCAATACTGGCTCGTCGCTGTTAACCTTTGGCCCGCTAAGTGTGCCACCATTCATGAAGTGGCCTCCATCAAAATATCAATTCCTGCTTAACTCATCACTTTCTTGATATATATCTAACTCATCACTTTCTCTTGCTACCTTAACTCATCACTTTCTCTTGATATATATCCTAACTCATCACTTTCTCTTGCTATATACCTTAACTCATCACTTTCTCTTGATATATATCCTAACTCATCAGTTTCTCTTGATATATATCCTAACTCATCACTTTCTCTTGCTATATACCTCAATTAATTCATCACTTTCTTTTGCTATATACCTTAACTCATCATTTCTTGATATATATCGTAACTCATCACTTTCTCTTGCTATATACCTTAACTCATCACTTTCTCTTGATATATATCCTAACTCATCAGTTTCTCTTGCTATTATATCTTAAATCATCACATTCTCTTGCTATATACCTCAATTAATTCATCACTACAGATAGTTTCTATTCATGACAGGCAAGTTTATGAGTTAATGCTAATAACAATCAAGTTAGTTAAAAAAATAATTCAAATTAAAAAGGTACTCAACTAGTGTCAAATAATAATAACTTACTCTGAACAGCAGCGTTTAGGAACTCCTGCACTGTCAACTCTCCTCCTTTAAATGGATCTGAGAAGAAAAAAAAACTACCTGTATAAAATATTTAATGAAAACTAAAAAAATTGAATAACAAAGATACAAAACATGTCTTTATATTTAAGTAAAGATTTTACATTGTTAAACAAATAATAATTTAAATAACAATATTTCCCATATTTAATACAATTTCTGGAGCAGAGTTTCCCCCCAATCATTACAGCCACTTCACACATCTTTCAGTCATCAATAGTCGTACAAACCCACTTCTGCCTCTCTTATGAACCTTATATGTATTTTTGTTATTTCAATTCTTCACCTGTAGCTCGAACCAATTCAACAGGCAGCATTTCTCAACAGCTTCCAATGTTCTGATAAGTGTACTTAAACCTGAGACGAAATCAACAGCCACAAGGGACAATAACCATGCACCAACTTTAATTTGAATAGAAGATGCCATCTATGATGGACAGCAAAGATTCATCAATACCAATATTCAACCATCTCTGAAAAGTTATTTCTTGTACTTCCAATTGGATAGCTGCTATTTATTGCTCTTAATCACCATTGCAGCACCACACACCCATACACAAAAATGCCAAGCTGAACATTTCCGAGGGGCTGCCTCCACTTTTCAGTCACTCACCTGTGGCTTCCTTATGCTTATAAATGATGCCCGAAGAGAAGCCCCTGCTTGCTGGAAAAATGTCAACGACTCTCCCACTGGGATCAGTGTCAACAACTCAGCTCCCGATTACACCACCCTCCAGAATATATTGAAAAGTCTCCATAATTGGGTCACCAACAACCATCCCAAGACCATGGTTATGCACATCAACCTCTCCTCCGACGTTGTCCCACCTCCCTCCATTACTTTGGGACCCAATACACTCCCGGTTGTGGACACTAACTAAGCTCCTCAGCATCACTATAGATAACAAACTACAGTAAATTGGAAAACACACGTCTGTAAAGTTGTCAAATCCTCCAGTTTCCGTCTCCACCTCCTCCGGCCGGCTCAAGTCCCTCAGAGTTCGTGCCCCCAAGATCCTCAGTGTTTACTCAACATTTATACTTCCCAAGCTCACCTATGCCTCCCCTACCTGGTCTTCCTTCCTAAATGCCATACAACATAAACACCTAGAATAAGTGCAAAAGAGGGCATGGAAAATTATTCTCTCCCTTTCCTACTCCACATATCAAGAAGCACTCAACACACTGACCCTCTCGGTTCTCTGACCATCACCACGACCTCATCTGCAAATTTGGTGAGAAGTTTCTGCACCATCCTCTAACCGGCACCAACTTCCACCCAAGTTCCTGTCAGTGAATTGCCGTTCAACACAACAACATCCAGCCCATACTAGCACATACTGATCACTATAAGAACAGCCCAGTTCCAACCATTGAAAAAAATTATCAACAACTCAGAATCTACCAGTGTGTTCATTCCAAGTCAATCTTACCTTTTTGCACTGTCACTATGTTGAAATGCCCTGTAGTATAACCATCTCCCCACCTAGTTATTATATATCATATTTGTATCACTTATGTTACTTTTATATTACAGTTAACCCTCACTTTACGCGGTTAATGTAACCCGGAGGGTCCCGCGTAAAGTGAGAAACGCGTAAAGTGAATAACATAACATATGGGATTAATTGAAATGGAGTCCGGGCCGACCCCGACTCCACTTTTTGACGACACACAACTATGTTGTAATATAAATTTTATCTTAACTTTTATGATGGTATGAAAAAAACCATTAATATAGAAGAGGTTAGGTTAGGAAAAATAAAAAGGGTTAACATAGGAAAAAATAAAGGGATTAGGTTAGAAAAACTAAAAGTTAGGTGGAACACTTACGGTAGTAGAAAGAGATGGTCGGCATCTGAGGATGGAGGCTGGTTCGAGGCAGAGGGCAGATTAGGCCTCAGGTGAATCACACCATCACTGTCACCCACACTTATTATGGCCTCCTGACAATCCTCCAAAGTGTCTTCACTGTCTCTACCTCTGTCACTATCACTGGCTTGGGCCCAGCTGTGGTGAGTTTGAGCGAAACTTCCGGTTATGCTTTTTGTGACTGGTGTTTGTATTTATTAAGTGATACACACGTGATGTGCTGGCTCCATAGCCTGCACCGGCGGAGTATGGAAGACTTCATAGCGGTCCATCGTCATTGTCGCGGGAAAAGGAAGGACTTCATTTTCTCTGCACACTCCATGCCCTTAATATCACAATAAGAGTTAAACTGTGTTCTTGAATGGCCAGCACCTTCTTCCCTCCTCTTCACTGGCGTGATCTTCTTCCAACATCTCAAATCGACACAGTCACTTCAGGATTTCTGATCACCTCCAGGATATCAAGTGGTTGGTGGTCTCGGGAAGCCTGGAACTGTAACAGTCTCGCATGGCTTCTCTGCTTAAGGTCCACTGCTACAACATTCTGAACCTCACCAGTCACAGATTGACTCCTCCTCTCTCACCTGGTATTCCATACCTTACATGTCTCCATGCGTGGCCGAATTGTAGCAATAGACAGCTGAGTCCCTTGACTCCACCAAGAAGTCCACAGCTTTCTTGATGTTAAATACTCTCCAGAATTGTTTGAACAGTATTTTTTGCTGTGCCAACTGTTGATCCTCATCTTCTTCGCTACTTGCTATCGGTGGTGGTGTCACTCAGGTTATGCAACTCTTCCCTGGTGTTGGTATAGTCGTTCAGCAGCTGGAATTTTTTTGTTGAGAATGCAGCTTTTACATTACAGATTAACTCTTGGTCCATGGGCTGTAATATAGACGTAGTGTTGGGAGGAAGGAAGACCACTTTTACGTTGGGGTGACGATCTAACAGAAGGGGCGAGTGTCCTGGTGCGTTGTCCAGCAGCAACAAAATATTGAATGGCACATTCTGTCGCTCACAGAATTTCTTTACATCGGGAACAAAACAGTCATCAAACCAGGAGAGGGACAGTGTAGAGAACATCCACGCCTTACGTGCGGTCAGCCAGTGGACATTCAGCTTGGTCATGTCCATAGTTTTGTAGGCGTGCAGCTTGCGTGCTGTGTGGATCACCGATAACTTGAGCTTACAGGTACCGGAGGCATTGGTGGTAAACAGGACGGTGATGAGTTCCTTCTGCATCTTCCGGCCCCGAATCTTGCTGGCATTCTTTACAACGAAGGACTTGGAAGGTAGCTTTTTCCAGAAAAGACCAGATTCGTCCATGTTAAACACCTGGTCGTCACTGTACTGTCCTTCCTCCATAATCTCACGTAAAAACGGAGGAAATTCCCTAGCCGCAGCACGGTCAGCACTCGCTTCTTCACCACCAATGTTTATATTGGTGATTTTGTTCCGGATCTTAAACCTCTGTAACCACCCAGAGGAAGCATTAAAGGGTTTGGGCTCTGTAGTTCCCATCTTTCGTGCCACTGCAATGTACAGTTCACGTGCGTAGTCCTTAACAGAGCGCGTGTCGACCGCCATGTTCCGTCGCGCCTGACGCACCAAGTACCTCACAAGTAATTTTTCTGTCTTGAGAAGCACCTGGTTGTGAAAATACTTGATCATAGAAGTACCTGTAGACTTTGTGATCTTCATGTGCTCCTTTATCTTGGCTGCATCCTTCTTTATTGTTCGAATCGTAGATTCATTCACACCATGCTGGCCCGCCAAATCAACCTGCCTTGTTCCTTTCTCAACTCTTGGATGATGGTATACTTCACCTCGTAGCTTAAGGAACGTTGTGTCTTCTTTGGCTTAGTGCCGCTGGGTCCAGGTAAGGAAAGGTTTCTCTCTGGGGGTGGTGGTCCGGCGGAAGCCATTTTACGGAACAATGGATGCGCGTTTACACGGTGTGGCCTTGAGGGATGAAACTGCCGCAGCTAGGTCAAGCATCGTCTCTCCTCCCTCCCTCCCTCCCTCCCTCCCCGGGGTGGTCACGTCATAATACTTTAAGCCAATTACAGCTAGCAGCAGAGGGGGGTAGGGATGCATGGCCAATCACAGTCCGATACGTCATATGACGTCAGTGATAACGCAACAAAGACACACACTGCGCAACCTTACCGCGCCGCTTGCCCAAGCAGAGGGAGGAGGAGGGAGAGGTGAGGAGCACAGGCAGGCAGGCGGGCGGGTGGCGGGTGGGGCGAATCTAAAAATAGCGTCGCGCCGGACACTCTCCGCGGAATGGGGTTCACGTACCTCGTAATGTGAGCACGTTAGGTTCTGGCAAGGCACCGCGTAATGGGGTTCGTGTACCGCGTAATGTGAGCACGTTAGGTTCTGGCAAGGCACCGCGTAAACGTGGAAACGCGGAATGCGGGACCGCGTAAAATGAGGGTTAACTGTATTTGTCAATCAAGTGACCCATTCCCCAATTATGTAACTGTATATTATCAGCCTTCCGGCTACCATGCTCTTCCAATAAACAATTAATTATGATTATTTATTATTACAAACTAGCCAACAACAAAAAACATGGAGAAGAAACATACCTATGAGACCTCTCTCAGTGGCCCTGTCAAAGAAGTAACTGAACGCAATGACTTCTCTGTCTTTCAGCTCAGTGGGTGCATGCACCTGTATAGGGAGACCAATTAATATTAAAAAAAATAAATAAATAAATAAAATAAATAAAACATAAAAAATACTGTAGCTACATCCATTGCACGTCTGATACACACCAGAGTGATTCATGATAAACTTATATTCTTTTTTTTACGGGGATTAGCCCACCAGGGCACAGGTCAATGACCCACAACTGGGCCTAGGGGGCGAAAAAATAAGAATTGAAAGAAACTAAAAATAGAAAAGAAAAAGATTATATTAATCTACACCACAAAGATGCTGGAAAACCAGCTTTTTGAAGTGAGACAGAATGTAAGAGTATGGAAACACAAAAGAGGGCAAAGCATTCCACAGTTTGGCTGTGTGAGGAAAGAAAGATGCACTATAACGGGTTATACTAGTGTGACCGACATCCACAGAGAAACAGTGAGCATCGCGGGCAAGACGTGTGTTACGAGCCTATGGTCTTGCCGGCGGTACACAGGATGCCAAATCCACTGAACATTGCCTGTTAAAGTACCTGTAAAAGAGAGAGAGTGAAGCAACATTGTGGCAAAGAGAAAGGGAAAAAAGATTGTCAACTAAAGGAGGGGAGTTAATAAGACGAAATGCCTTTGGTTCCACCCTACCTAACAGTTGGACAGAAGAGCCACCCCAGATATGAGAGCAGTACTCCAAGTTAGAATGAATGAATCCCCTATATACAGTACTGTACTTGAAGAAACTGCTCAGAAGTGAGGTAGCTACTTTCAGGAGGCAGCTTTAGCAATGTTGTGGATGTGTGGCTTCCATGACATATTAGAGGAAATGGTGAGGCCAAGCATATCTATTTTAGAATTTGGCAGAATGATAGCATCCTGAAATGTGATTGGAGGGAAATCGTCTAATTTGGAAGGTGTAATTGGTAAATACCGAGTTTTATTACTATTGAATTTAACCAAGTTTCTACCTCCCCGTTCGGAGATGCTACACAGATCAGCATTGACAGATGAAATTATATCAGCACAAATTCTTATTTCAATCTTTTTTTTTAGTTTAATTACCATTATCCTATATAAACAATTGTTGTTTAAAGACAATGAAGCTCTCCTGCAGGCAAACTGTAATACTTACATGATTTTTGCATCATATCTGATATCAGTCTTCACCTGCAATACTATGTCTTAGTGTAACACGACCAGCATTCATTGCAGAATCATCCTAAAAGTGCATTTAGTTTTCTCTCATAATTATAAACATGACACATTTGATGCACAGTTTAACCCTTAGAGTGCTGCTGAGAATTTTAGTACCCAATACCCTGTACTCAAGTACCCAGCGATATTTTTTTAAAAGACTGCCACATTCTATGGGCACACCCATTTCTATACCCACTACACCTGCTTCTACACCAAATGCACTTACTTCTATGTCCATTACACCCACTACTACATCTACCACACGCATTTCTACTCCCACTACACCCATTATTATGCCCACCACACCCATCATTATGCCCACTACACCCATTATTTTGCACTCTCAGCCCACTACTACATCACTATAATGACCATTACAACCACTAGACCCACTACACCAGCTGCTACCTTCTCCACACACCCAATGCTACACCAGAACAGTAGCAATAAATTGCAAATTAATTAAATCAATGAGTCAAGTCGGTTAATGGGACAATCATAAGGTCAATCAGTGATTCAGTACATTGTCCCAAGTGCATTTATGAGCACCATAACCAGTGTAAGCGGACTGGACGCAGCAACACCGCACTCAGGGTACACAAATTCAGGCCACGGTGGCCTACTGTAGGTGTAATGCCTGATGCAACAGTCATAATTCTATGAGCTGTGACAACCTTATTATGCTGTATACTAAAGTATTTCTAAGCTTTTTGTGCTACCTGAACAATACTATCTCAATCTATAAAACCAATTTGTCATATTCTTAATATTAATATTTTACTGATGCATCCTGTGCATGGGAAGACATTTTCTAGAAATTTTCCGCCCACCGAAGTTCCGTTCATAAAGCTGAAACAAAACCTTAAAACCAGTAAAACACAAATAACCATTTGGGAATATTTTATTCAGTAGATGGCACTGTAGGTGGAGACTGAAATCTCACTGTTCTGTATTTGTAAACAACTGAGGTGCTGCTGTTATAAATTGACTACACAGATTTATATCATTGATACCTTGTTACAGGGTAAACTGAATTGGGGCTATGATAAAATTTTCCTAGGTTAGGGATTCAGTTGGAAGCTGTATGTCTAAATAAAATATGCAGTTAAAAAGCTTTAATAAGGAAATATACATTTCGTAGTTAGACTTCGGCCCAGAGGGGCCCAGGACAAATACTGTGTGCAAAAATTTAAAAATTTCGGATTCTGTGACACATTCGGCCCCAAGGATTTCAGATACAGGCTTCTCAACCTGTACACGGTGGTGCTGTTTGTAGTTGGTTATCACTACTGCTGTGTAATGTATTGTAATATCTAGTTTCCTTCCTGTTATTTTCTGTTAGTATATGCTTCACACAGGTACAGAGGGGTATGCTATAACGAATCTAATTGGTTCTAGAACCTTGTTCGTTATAGCATTCGTTCATTATAGGATTAATCCGTTCCAGGCCCCCAAATACAACCACTTAACACTGAAAAATATAATATAAAATTGTAAAAATTGTAAAAAAGTGCATAAATATGCATCTAAACCCCTGAAATAAAGAATAACATTAATACTTGTATTACAGAAACAATAAATTAGTATAAAAAAAAAAAAAATTTTATTTTTTTTTAATAATGTTCGTTGTAGGAGTTTCGTTCGTTATAGCATTCTCAATTTTATAGGTAAAACCGTTCGTTATAGGAATATTTGTCGTAGGATCCGTTCGTTATAGCATACTCCCACTGTAGTAGGTAGGAAGCAGCTACCGAACAGGGAGGTACTACAGGTCGTACCTCTCTAGTCCAGCAACCTTGGGACCTGACCGGTGCCGGACCATGGAAATTCACCCTTTTCCTGGATAGATAGTGACTTGTGCTTATGCTTGGAAGCACTAGCACCACTTTCTCTGCATCATGGTCTCTTCGAAGACATATTGAAGGGTTAAATGTCTTAAAACTGTAGTAGCTTCTCCAATTTCGCGAGTTTTTAATTCAATGTATTTTATTGGAACACACACAAAAAAAATTAAATAAAAATTTTGACGGCGGAAACTTGAATTTTGACGGGTTTGAACGGACCGCCAACGTGCAGACGACGTGCATAAGCGTGTAAACAGAGTCATTTCTCTTATGTACAAAAGATTCATTATTGTTTATTACTGAATGTCTTTTTTATTGAATTAATATTTATGTGTGCAAAATGAGCAATACAATTAATTAATAATAGGTAGAATATTAAAACACACGAGGAAATGACACAGCATTGTTTTCGTTGATTACAAAACCAGTGACTGACTGGTTCTACATATAAAACTGAAGAAAATAAGACCTAGGTTGTAGCTGTAGTAAAATTAATATGGTTGTTTTAAGTAATGTTATTTAATGTTAATAAATGGAACAATAGAAGTAGCTAACGATAATGGTAAAGAAAAAAGAGAGATCGCGTATGTAAGTGCGCACACGTGAAAACATATCGTCATTACTTTACATAAGAATATGAAAGCAACACTTATTTACTGTTCATATATATTTTAATTAATGTTTCTGAATTTGTTTTTATTGAATTAATGTTTGTGTGTGCAAAATTAACAATACAATTTATTAATAATACGTGGAATATTAAAACACACGAGAAGACAAGACGGCTGCCGGCATTGTTTATGTTAAAGCTTACAAAACCAGTGACTGATTGGTTCTACATATAAAACTGAAGAAAATAAGACCCTGATTGTAGCTGTAGTAAAATTAATGTAAAAAAATTAATATGGTTGTTTGAAGTACCTGTAATGTTACTTAATGTTAATAAATGGAACAATATAAGTAGCTAACCATTAATGGTAAAAAAAAAGTGAGACTGCGCGTATGTAAGTGCGCACATGTGAAAACATATCGTCATTACTCTACATAAGAATATGAAAGCAACACTTATTTACTGCTCATATATATTGAAGGGTTAAATGTTGTACTCTGTATAGACAAGCAGAGAGAGAGAGAGCAGCCGAACTGCCGGATGTACAGTATTACCCCGCCTAACGCGGTTTCACTTAACGCGTTTTATCACATACGCGGTGCCTCGCCAGAGCTGAACTTTCACTTAACACGGATTTTTTCCACATATACGCGGTGAGTGTCCGGCTCGAGACGCTATTTTTAGATTTGCCCCACCCGCCACCCTGCCTGACTGCCTGTTTTAGCTCATAAAATTCATACAAATTACCCGGCCAGAATATAATTTACATTGCTGGAATTCTTATAATTTGGTGATCATTTTGAATATAAACATCATATATTTTGCATTAAACATACAATTTTTAGATAAAAATTTTTCTCTAGGTAACTATGTTATCTTTTGTGCAAAATATATGACATTTATATTCAAAATATTCCTGGTCTTACAAGGAATCCAGCAATGTCAATTATATTATCCTAACTTTAGTTTGAGGTATTATTTATTAAAATTTAGTGGTTATCCCACACATCTCCTTGGGACGGTTGGTGGGGGGTGGGGGGGAGGGAGGGACCGACCGACCATCTGTTACCCTGTGAAGAATTATTATTTTTTTTTATTAACTGAAGATATTTGTTTTAGCTCATAAAATTCATACAAATTACCCGGTCAGAATATAATTTACATTGCTGGAATTCTTATAATTTGGTGATCATTTTGAATATAAACATCATATATTTTGCATTAAACATACAATTTTTAGATAAAAATTTTTCTCTAGGTAACTATGTTATCTTTTGTGCAAAATATATGACATTTATATTCAAAATATTCCTGGTCTTACAAGGAATCCAGCAATGTCAATTATATTATCCTAACTTTAATCTGAGGTATTATTTAATACTAAATGTTAAAAACTCTGGAAGGGAGGATTGGTGGGGGGTGGGGGGGAGGGTTGGGACTGACCGCGCGGTTGGAAGAGGGGGGGAGGCAAGGTGGGGTACTTTGATTGACAGATAGTGTCGTGAAGATTATTATTTTTTTTTATTAACTGAAGATATTTGTTTTAGCTCATAAAATTCATACAAATTACCCGGTCAGAATATAATTTACATTGCTGGAATTCTTATAATTTGGTGATCATTTTGAATATAAACATCATATATTTTGCATTAAACATACAATTTTTAGATAAAAATTTTTCTCTAGGTAACTATGTTATCTTTTGTGCAAAATATATGACATTTATATTCAAAATATTCCTGGTCTTACAAGGAATCCAGCAATGTCAATTGCATTATCCTAAGTTTAGTTTGAGGTATTATTTATTAAAATTTAGTGGTTTTCCCCCAAAAATTTCTCTGAGAGGGAAGAGCCAGTGAGTGTAGTGTGAGTAGAGGGGGAGGGAGTTGAGTCCATTATTTGAATGGACATTAACTTGGCGACTGTATTTCTCTATTTCTCTTAAGTATTAATTGTGTGCATGTACCATCATAAAATTAAGATGTTATTTTTACTACAACATAGGTATGTGCCTTCAAAAAGTGGAGTTTGGGGGTCGGGCCGGTTTCGATTGGAATTAATCCCATATGTTCTGTTGTTCACTTAACGCGGATTTCACTTCACGCGGGACCCTCTGGGTTCAATTGACCGCGTTAAGTGGGGTACAACTGTATACAAACCTTAATTTCCCGCGGCTTTGTTTTTTTTTTTTATGGGGATTAGCCCACCCGGGCATAGGTCACTGACCCACATTGGGGCCTGAGGGGCAAAAATTTAATACTCCTGTAATAATAATAATAATTCAGATAAGAAAAAAAAAAAAAAAAAAAAAAAACTGCCTATCTACCTATTGGACAAACTAAAATCGTTCCGGACCACGGGAGTTTCCGGACCACAGAATGCCGGACTAGAGAGGTACAACCTGTACCGCCTGGGAAGATATTAGCAGCATAAGGTGTTGTCTAATGGTAGACCCTGCTGCCATATGGCATCACGAAAATTGTGACCAAGTCCCAGGTTGCTGATCTGACTTTCTGCCTCATTTACACACAATTGTAGGGTTTCAATTGTTTCTATTATATGACAAAACAACATACATATATAGCGTTTCTCACTGTTGATTTTTTTTCACTCTTGCATTTCTTTGTACAGTACTCCCTCTTTATCGACGGATTTTTTATCGACGGTTTCGATTATCGACGGATTTTTATTTTGGCTTTATTTGAACTCTGCGGGCCTTGTTTGTACTTTCGCCGCTAGGCGGCACTAGTGCCGTGACTAGCGTCTACCCGCGGCCCGCCTTCCCTGAACACAGACATCAGCCAAGCCGCGTGGGCAACAGTCTTTGATTTTCAACTTTTGCTGGTGGTTCATCACATCAACTTATATCACCATGCCTCCCAAACGACCTGCTGCTCCCTCTGGATCTACACCTAAGAGGGCAAGATGAGTGCTGACGCTGAATGAGAAGAATGAAGTGCTGAAACAACTCGACAGCGGTATGAGCTACGCAGCTGTTGGCCGCCACTTTGGGCTCAACGAATCCAGTGTGCGTGGAATTAAACGACGTGCAAAGGATCTGAAGCACGCTTTAGCTTCAAGTGCACCAGTGACATCAAAAGTGACAAGCCATGTGCGTGATGATGCCCTCATTAAAATGGAAAAAGCACTGAACATTTGGATAGAGGACCTAAACCGCCGCCACATACCACTTGACTCGAAATTTATTAGGCAGAAAGCTAAGGAACTTTATGATAAGTTTTCTAAAGGTGATGATCATGGTGTTGGTGATGGTGATGGTGATGATCAGGGTGATGGTGATAATCAGGGTGATGGTGATAATCAGGGTGATGGTGATAATCAGGGTGATGGTGACAATTTGAAAAAATTTGCAGCTAGCAAAGGATGGTTCGAGAAATTCAGACATCGTTATGGGCTGCATAATATAAAAGTGACTGGCGAAGCAGCATCAGCAGACACTGTGGCAGGGGAAGCATACCCTGCAGAGTTTGCTAACCACATAGAACAAAAGGGTTATAGGCCGGAACAAGTTTTTAATGCTGATGAGTCAGGCCTATGGTGGAAGAAGATGCCACGCCGAACCTACATCTCTAAAGACGCAGTACCTGCCCACACCCCTCAAGAAGATGCAGACCTTGACTCATCATACTCATCTGACTTGTCAGGCTTTTAATAAGCCTCAATCATCACACTTGTATATACTGTACACTGTATTGTTTACTGTAAGGACCGATGTTCACTTCAATAAATGAAATCGTAAGTTTGCTAGTATTTTTGTCCACTTATTATATTATTATTTATACACTATTATTTAAGGTTATGTGTAAAGGAAATGCATTAATGCTTAAAGGTACATTTATTCAACATATGCTAATAATAGTTAGAAAAATTACGTAACCATCACGGTATTGACGGTTTCTTTATCGACGGCCGTCTACAGAACGTAACCCCCGTCGATAAAGAGGGAGTACTGTATTTATTATTATCACAGTGTTATTATTATTATTATTACCATTAATATTATATTTTACTTTTAATTATAAATTTTATTTACTATGAATTATTATTATTATTAAATTTTCGCTCCCCAGGCCTCGATGTGGGTCAATGACCTGTGCCAGGGTGGGCTAATCCCCGTGTATAAAAAAAAAAATCCTCATTTTTCAACAGATTTTTGCTCATCAGAGCAGGTAAGTAGCGATTGTTTTGCTGTACTTGTGTGACATCCCAATTCTAATAATATAATGATAAAAAATTATGAGCATTACACATACCAATATCTTAAATACCTCTTGCCATCACTCAACTGGATCACCTCTCTGCAAAAGCTACACTTGTCTCAAAGTACAACACATTGATTTCTAAGAGGCCTGAGGTTAAACAAACCTTTCATTCATTCACAGATGTGTTCCAGCAGAGTAAAACTAAATTTACATCATTACCTGTTGATTGATCACTTCAACACATGCATTAACACATGCTTTGTGATCAGCAATGGGACGGTTCTCAGTTAAACGGCCTGCTTGTCCACGAATCTCCTTATATTTGGCCTGTTCTGGTCCTCTGAAAATCAAAATGAAATTTGTATTCCATCTCACAAATTAGAATTTTATATGAAAATCATGCTGGATTACTAATTCATACTTTAATACCTGAAGGACATCAATTAGTTAACAATAAAACCTGTAATGAGTACCCTAAGGCTAGCCCACCTCACAAGTGGGACTGACATGCTCCAACAGTGAGTTATACTGTTCCACTGATTCACTGTAAGAGGTGTGATCATCTCCTCACTCAGTAAACCAATGTCTACTAAAGGAGGAGAAGAAAGAGGAAGATACATTAATGAAGATGATTATACATAATGAAATTCAACTAAATCTACAAGTCACCTCATTGCTATTTCACACCTTTACTCTCCGTAGTGCCGAGTGGCCACGATCAAGGGAAAATAATTAATTTTTACAGTTGTAATGGAAGTGTCCTGTATTGATATTTCCCTTCTGCAATGATGCTCCAAATAACTACCTGGTTTATCTCGGTTGCTTCACACAACCCATCAGCAACATGTTTCTCCCCAAATATCACATGAAGACATACGGTACATACTAATAATCTCTGCTCATAAAAAAAAATCCCTTCCAATTCCCTGAAATGGCAAGCAAAAACAAACTCTCCCTTCAACAGCTGTCATTCTTTTTCTCTAACTGTCATTAACAGGTGTGTTTTGGGAAGATGTTACCTTTCCACAATGAATTCCCTAATTATCTTGTTATCTCTGTCAATTTACACACAAACACGAGAACATACTTTCAGACTGTTTCTACAGTATATCAAATCTCACAGAACCTGTATAGCTCTGGGTTCACAACTTTTAATTTCATTTATTCCTTTCCCCCACATATCTAATAATATTGTCAAAATATTTTTTCCCCCTTATTCTAAAAATTTCCAGTACGTCTTTCTCTGGTGTAGTTAATCTGCATTTTTTTCTTTATCGCCATAATTTTTTTTAGTATTCTCCAGTACCACCATACATCACAGGCCTCTTACCTCCTCCTGAAGTACTAACCACAGATTGTATTTAAGCTGCATTTTTCTCAATCTTGAGTTCATTTCCCACTTTAACAGTTCTCTAAGTGTATTAAAGTATGTTATTGCCAAACCTATTCTTATTCTAATGCGCGATACAGGCAGTCCCCGGCTTACGACGAGGTTAGGGACCCAAATCCAGGTTGTAAGACGAAAATGCGAAAATAATACATAGAAATCTAAAATGGGTGTCTCTTTTTCTTCTCAGTACCACAAGACTCTCACTTTTAAGCTTGCCAGCCATTTTAAGGGGAATTACAAACAAAAATTTTGTCAGTACACAGCACAATCACTAACGTCGGGACTCGAAAATACGTAATTTGAAAACAAAATTTGTACTACTGGGGGCGGTAGTATGTCTGGGTTGTCGTAAGTCGAGGAGTACCTGTACTTGAGTACAGTTCGAGTTTATGACCAGATTTTTATGCAAAATGAAAGGGGTTGAACTTGTACGAACAATAATTTTTAGGGGCTAAAATTCAAGCATTTCCATGGTTTATTTACAGTGAATGATAGCTACCTGGTACATTCTCGTGGTAGGCTAACCTTACCAGTAAGCTCCTTTATCCTGGGTTTGCTTCCCATACTCCTAGATTCTTTCTTTATGTTGCTATATGAAGAACAGAACCTCATTCACTGTAAATGCCACAATAAGTCTAAAAAAAAACTACAACAATTGATGATTTCCAGATAACTTTCCTATCATTTGCATCTGAAACATCACTGATGGCACTGTTGTAAAGTGAGACTAGTCACCGTAGCTACATCCCCCTCACTCTCTCCCTACCAGGCTGAGATGTGAACTATATTATGGTTATTTTTCAACTTGAAATTTTGAGTAGACATATGTAATTTTTTTCATTTTTTTTTATTTCTCTGTCAGATGCACACACAATCTTACATACAAAATATGCAAGAAAAAATAAAAGAGGTAATTATTATAAGGTCAAAAACATAATATGCAATAAAGATTTCTTCGTGAGCGAGACTTAGCATGCTAGGCAGGGCACGGGAGGGAGAAGGGGGATTGAGGGAGTGTGGGATCTCAGCTGTTTGCTGTCTCCCAAGTTCCAGATGTAGTAAAATGTTTTACATATACAGTCATGCGCCGATTAACGTCCGACCGAACAACGTCCGTGCCCCCCCCCCCTAAAAAAAATCTGTGACGCCTGCTGTACCACCACTCCACGACCCCCTCACGGAGACACGATGATCCTCCCCATACTGGTCAGATATTAAGTGGTAAAGGAATATGCTTCCTTCCTTAGGCTTTTTTTAAGCATTTGCCTCCAGGTGTAATGTTAACCTATATCTATTGAGGATAAAATCTTTCACCTACAAATTGACAATAACACATTTGCTGTAATCAGACATATCTAGTTGCCTCAACAATTGCAACCCCAGTTGCAATTGGGGTTGCATTTTCAAATTCTGTGGCATTACTAAGAATAACGAAGTCTCTGGTGCACTCTAAGATTAAGAGAGAAAACGGAGGACTCAGGCGTCCTGATGTGAGAGAAAACGGACTCGTATGATGGGGGACCAAATAAAAAAAGCATAGTTACATGTTTTGTGGACTACAGTATTAAGCGTATCCTTTTCATCACTTTGTAATAAACCTAGCCATGCCTATGTGTGTTTATGATATTTACCATAACATGATATAAATTTAGTGGGTCTAAATGGTCGTAAAATGGGAAACTTGGGGTTGGGTCTTGGGTGCGTGGAACCAATTAGAATAAATCCCATAGGTTCTGTACTTTCGTTGTCAGCGGGGTCCCAATTAGGCGCGATAACCAAGGGATGACTATACTGTACTGTATATACTTGTGACACTGGCCAGTTGCTTCTGGTGTTATGGTACAGGGGTACCAAGTGACAGCACTAGGATCCCGCTTCCTCTATCAAGGAATAAACAATTAAAATTTAAATTGAAAAAAAAAACATTCAAATAATGGGACGTAGCGAACCTAAATGGCCCTAGAGCGGGCACAGTCACGTACGCATCGAGTATTCTTATAGATTGTGTGGCCAGCCGTACGTTATCTAGTGAATTTAGTCAATATTGTACAGTAACAATGGACCTAAGTGCAAACCTGTATTGTACATATACTAAATGATTACGGTACTAAAATTTTTATGTCTATTGCAAATGTAGCTTGTTTATACAGATCGTGAGCTGGAACCATTACCTAAAACCCATTGAAACAATGGTTTCGTTAATTAACGCTTGGCAATCCACCTTCTGAACGGATTGAGTTCAGTAACCGAGGGCCACTGTAATGATAAATAAACACGCAGGCCTTCAGCGCCAACTGTTAAATCTTATCTCAAATAAATAAAGACACTGTCACCTCACCTCCCCCCACCCCCTTTTCTCACACTCGGCTGGCTACCTCCCTCGTGTTCCCAGATAAAAGATTGGTGATTTCTATATGTTTATTTTATATAATATCTCAGACTATAGTTAGGATAATATAATTTGCATTGCTGAAATCCTTGCAAGACAGAGATTAATTTGAATACAAGCATCATATATTTTGTTCAAGATACAAAAAATGTAATACATTAGTGTACAATACTGTAGTACATTTTATAAAAAGTTTTTCAACTATATTTTTGGGTAGATTTACATAAATTTCTTCATTTATTTTCATCCATTTACATGCACACACCATACTAAAAGAAACGTAAAATAAATAAATGACCATAATGCAAAGCTGGAGTGCACATGTACTAATTTGATTACGGTACTAAAATTGTTATGTCTAGTGCGAATTACAGCATGTTTATATTCAAATAAATCAGTATCTTACAAGAATCCCAACAATGTTAATTATATTCTCCCAGGTCATGTCACTGGCATTTTAAAATGAGAGAAGCTTAGTAGGACTGTTAAATAAACACACAGAGACCTTCGCCTCAAACTTATCACCTCAACCCCCCCACCCCTCCCTCTCTCCCTAATCTGCTCAGCCGGGGGTTTATTTAGGCTTACAGTTTTTATCTTATATAATATCTCAGACTAAAGTTAGGAGATTATAATTTGCATTGCTGGAATCCTTGCAAGACAGCCAATAATTTGAATATAAACGTCATATATTTTGCTCAAGAGATAAAAATTGTTGTACATTAGTGTACAGTACATTAGTGTACATTTATAATATAAATGTTTTCAACTGCATTTTTGGGTAGATTTACATCAATTTCTTCATTTATTTTCATCCATTTACATGCACACACCATACTAAAAGAAATGTAAAAGAAATAAATGACCATAGTGCAAAGCTGGAGTGTACATGTACTAATTTGATTACGGTACTAAAATTGTTATGTCTAGTGCGAATTACAGCATGTTTATATTCAAATTAATCAGTATCTTACAAGAATCCCAACAATGTTAATTATATTCACCCAGGTCATGTCACTGGCTTTTTATAAGAGAGAAGCTTAGTCACTTAAGAACTGATAAATATACAGGTACACGCATTAGACCTGGGCCTGTGCCAACTGTCAAACGTACTACCTCCCCTCCCCCCAAGCCCCCTTGTTCGCTCGCTCCCTCCCTCCTTCCCTCCCTCTCCCCCAACTGCCCAGCGTTGCTGGAATCCTTGTAAAACAGTGAATAATCTTAATATAAACGTCATGTATTTTGCACAAGAGATAAAAATTAATCACCTGAATCACATTACAGTAGTGATTTAAGAGTAAAAGTGAATATGTACGTACAGTATATAGTATTCCACATACCTGTACAAGCAAGTACAAGTATAAATAAAACGTTTATGTGATGATCGGACAACATCCATTTCGGTTAACGTCACGTTTCCAAGAACGTATCTAGGACGTTAACCGGCGCATGACTGTATTCTTATTAATTTTCAAAATTCTACTTCTCCATAACTTTTTGCTACATTATGCTGAAATTTATGTTTTTTTTTTTCAATCCAGAATGCTATGTCTAGCTTTATACCTGCATATGTATATGCCCTGCATTAACTTGCCAGGCCAACAGACGGGCAATTAAAACATCTAATAATTATTAAACTACGTAATATTAGGAGGACACGTCGCTACCTGGCATTTTATTGCAATTCTCAAAACCCCCTCGCTCACACGCATCACTGCTGTCATCTTTCT